ACTTGACCTCTAATTTCCATATATAAAACCTTATTGCTTAATGCCTAAGTAACCACTATTTTCTTGAACCCTAAGAAACTCCTTAGGTTTCATTGTTGCACAAGGACCGACCTCCTACACCTCATCGTGTAAGGAGGGGCAAATCCGGAAATTAACTAATAAAAACATGGAGAAAATAAAAGTTGGTTGCTATTTAATGTATGTCACAAAAAAAACATTTTTTTGAAAGGTTGGTTGCTATTAATGCATGTCATAAAAAATAAACACAAGAAATAAAAATGGGTTGCTATTAAAGCATGTCACAGCAAGGGAAAACAATTTTTTTGAAAATTTGGTTGCTCTTAATGCATGTCACAAAAGATAAAAACAACAAAAAATGAAAGTTGGTTGCTAATACTACATGGTATAACATATTTTTGAAAAGTTTGTTGCTATTAATGCATGTCACAAAAAAGAAAAACAGAAAAAGAAAATGAAAGTTGGTTTTTATTAATGCATGTCACAAAAAAAAGCAAAAAAAAAAGTAGTTTGTTATTTCTACAACAAATGCCACATCCGTTGCCACAAAAGGAACATAACATAACTCAAAAACACAACACAATGATCAATACATTACTTTTAGTGTTTCAAACCAACATTTCGTACATGTATGTAGAAAAAAAAGAACAAAAGAAAATTTTAAAATTGGTTGATATCATCATAAACATTCTAAAGAGTAACTCAAAGTCTCTTAATCTTGATCATCATTATCAGGCCGACAGATTGCTCAAAATCAGCCTTGATAATCACCCTATCCATGGCATGAATAACTATCTTGTTCTTTCTTCCAATCTACCTGTCATGTTTTGACCGAATCATGTTAATAATTATAAGCATTTCTTTTCGGATATTTTGATACATAAAGCTTTAATTCAGATAAAGATCGCAAGTTATCTCTCTACGTGTATGATAAAGACTGAAAGAATTTCCCATGGTACAACCTTTCAAGCTTAATACACCAGTAAGTATTGCATATCATTTGCTTTCTTCCCCCCACCAAACTATAATGTAATCTCAAATTCGAAGGAACAAAGATCGTAAATGGCAAAATTTCGATCATCATGGTAACAAACGGTCCTATCATCTCACCATTCTCTGGAATATTGTTCAATATCTTGGCACCATTGCTAAATGATATGTATGCAAGTCGAATATATATAACTGAAAGAAGTGAAACAAAAATGCAGGAAATCGAAACCATTATCTGGTTTTCATGAAGAAACCTAGGGTTAACGTCTCTCTGTATGTTCACGGCAAAAGAGCATATTTTTTAATCTTTTTCTACGTCATTTATTATTTTGTTTTGATATATTCCAGACATATTCCATTGCAACATATTAAACCTGGAACCCACATTAATATGAGTATATGACAAAATCAAATTTTTTTTCTTTTTAAATAAAAATATAGGTATTTTCTGGAAAAAAAACAGTGATGTTTAATTTTTCATTTCCATCGACTGATCGACATAAAGTATAGATATAAATTGTACATGTTCTAAGGCTAAAGGGAGTGGTAACACTCCTAACACATTGCCACGTCAGATTTTGAGATGCCACCTCATTTTTGACCATTTAACACTTAATCTTAGCATTTGGTAGGGAGTGGTAACACTCCTGACACTCCATTTTTTTCTTTTTCAAATTCAATTAAATTACTTTATTTTTAATATAGAAACATTTTCCCTACCAAGCTTTTACAGAAAATTAAAGATCAAAACTAAAAGTATATTTAATAGATGCCATTGCTACATTCTTATATAGAAAACCATATACCTAAAATATATCTATCCTTACATTCTTATATATGAAAACAAAATACAATCTCTTCCTTGATGAAACATTTGATCGGTTTATACCTAATAACTAAAGAGAATATACGATGGCTACAAATCAATTGCTATCAAATCCTTCAATCTCATTCTTCTTTTCAACTTTGCTTCATCATGATATTCAACTGTTAAAATATACTAAACCACAAACCAAAAGAAAAAACAACAATTTCATCAAACTAAAAGATTACAAAGCTTAGGGCTAACTACACATAATATAAACAACATTTTGTAGGCGTAATTCAGGAAAAAGCCCACAGGGGCATTTTAGGAAAATTGCTTTTATTATTTTTTGTTTCCAGGTTTTAGAGTATGACTCAAACTCTTTTTCTTTTAGTATAAATATGCTACGTTTATAGGTATTTAGAATGAAGTTTTTTCAGCAATAAAGTTTTATTTTCAACCAAGCAAAATCACAACTCCCGCTTTCTTATTTTCCCTGTAATCGCCCCTGTTTCATCTTCTTCTTAACTGTCCAGTTTCTTCCTTCTCGTTTTTGTTATGTTTTCTTAAGCAACAAGGCTGCATCAGGTATCCATCAGGTTGAAACCTTACACATTTGTTCATATATGAGCAAATGCTTACAGAGGCATAAGCAGGATAGTTGTTTGACTAGCTCTATTTTTATCAAAGGCTCTTAGTTTAGGAATTAGAAACTAAATGTAACCCATATCAGCCGAAATTGTTACCAAAAATTTTGAGTTCCAATTTCCTAAATCATGAAAAAATTGCATCCAAGTTATAGCTAATATAAAAAGTTGGATCCAATCAGGATTCCGAAATTCACACTACAATAATCCAACTTTCAGTTTGAACAATGACAAAATTAACTTATGTGCAAAAAAAACTAACCTGAATATTGAAGAGTGAATGAACGTTAAGTTGAATGGTCATCAAACGATGGGATGAAAATCTTGTTAGTTACACTGCCACTTCAGTGGAGGAGTATAATCAATTAAAAAAACATGAATGAACAAAAAAAATAAAGGAAGAACAATTTAATTGAACGATGGAATGGAAAATCTGTTAGGATTTGGGAGAATCTAGATTCAAAGGTGAAGGTGGATGGAGAGAAGTTGTGGTTCTATTACCTGTTGTCGGAACAATCGCAGGCAATGTCAACGACAAATTTTCACAACTCGAATCCTGAACATGCTTGAACAATTTCTCCCTTTGTGCAATTTGTTATCTTCAATTCCGAATTTAATCAAAAATTATTCTCGTTGGAATTATACAATTGTACAGAAAACCTAGATTATCACCAAAAAAGAAGAAGGGGACCGTGTGTGTTTCTCCTTGGCCGATAGAGCAGAAACGAAGAAAGCCATGAGAACTTCAAACCTGCAATCAACGATGAAGAAGAAGGGAGCGCTCCACCAATCAGCTTCCACCCTCACCTTCTCTCACTTCTCGCCAAAATCGTAACGAGGATCGGATGGCGATCCCCCTAGCGAGCGCTAGGGGGCGGTGTTCATGGCTCGCTAGCGAGCGTAGCGAGTGGGCTTAACATCCCCACTCCGCTTAGCCTAATAGTAAACAAGACAGTGTAACGCAATGAGGCCATGTCTTATCCCAACCAAAATGATTTAAAATCTGATCCAAATTATTTCTATTTATTATTGAACCTGAAACCCACATTAGTATGTCAATTTTTTTTTCCTTTTAAATAAAAATATAGGTGTTTTCTAAAAAAAAAAAAAAAAAAAAAAAGTGGTATAAAATGTATATGTTCTAATAGTAAACAAGACACGTGGAGCGAAATGAGACCATGTCCCAAAAAAAATTATCTAAAATCTGATCCAAATATGGAAAATAATTTATTAATTTATTTCTATTAATTAAAATTCTTAAATTCCCACAAATCGAGAGGTTGGTATTGTAAATGCAAAAAAAAAGTGAGAGCTTCTAATTTTGAGACCAATCAATCCAGATATCCACCGATACCGCTACACGCGTCCCGCTGCCGCATCACTAGAAAGTTAATTTTATATTAAGGACCTTTTACTTTTCTACTACTGTTAATATCTACCCCGTGCTCATTTGAAAAATATAATTTTAATATTTATTAACTTTTATTATTTACATAAACATAAATTACCTTTTTTAATAATATAATTTTTAATCATATTTCACAAGCAAATTAAGAAAACTCTTGCAAGTGGCATTTTTAAGAATTGAAGTATTGAAATATACAAATAAGATTTATTTTTTGTTAGATACAAAAAAAAGGTTTTCTGCCTCAATATTATTCCAAAAGCCTTATTAATGTTTCCTATGGATTTTATTTATTTTCCTATGTTCTGTTAATGGCTAACTTAAATATATTAATCTACTCATAAATCTTTCTATTTATTCCATATCCCAAATCCAATTCGAGTTTTTTTGGCCGAATGATATCTTACCAACATTCTCCTAGCCCACTTTGTTCTTTATTATCATATTAATAAATAATTAATTAAGGTACTTACTATTATTATATGTTAACAATATAAACGTGATATCACAAGACAAAAACTTAATTTTATATGAAAATGATGTATTCAAAAACACCAAAATACCAATACAGCCATTTGATGATACGACCTAAAGTCTTGCCAACATCATTCTTATCCAAAAACACGAGATTTTTATTTGTAGGGAATATAAAGCTCGAAGAAATAAAACAAATTTTTGAACGAGTTGTCTTCTTATGACACATTCAACTTGCATGCACTTAATATCTAAATTCATCTTTTTCAATAAATACAAGAAAATAGGTGTTAATATCCAAGTCTTGGAATATCAATAAAGTCTCCTACATAAATTAGATATTTTCATTCTATAATATTTGTAATAAAATCACATAATACAGTACTAATTTTTTTTAAAAAAAATATGGAAGTAGGTAGGATCAATCTATGAACGGAAGTAGGTAGGAGCAATGTATGAGGATGTATACATATTGGCTGATTTTAAAAACAATTAAAGTAAAGGGACTGAAATGGTAAATATTAAAAAGATTCCATTATTGGAAGTCGTAATGTGACTAGGACGGATAATGTAAACCACAATTCGCTTAAAGACACGTCATCACAACTGAGGAGAACGGATAAGGACCTGCCATCTCTTGTTTTCTCTCTCACACACAACACCGAAACACACACACCTCTCTCTCTATCTTGGCCTATATATCGAATCTAAAGGACGCCAATTCTTCTCCATTATTGACCTTTTCTTTCACCCAAAGGATCAGATTGTTTAATCCATTTCGTTGTGTTTAACTCTTGCAAACGGAATCGTTTATCGATATTCAAATCAAATATTTTCTTCCTCTTTGAACGCTGTTTGAGTCGTTTATAATCCACAATTTCATCATATAAATCAATCTGTAGAGCTGAATTCGATATCTGCCATCGAAAAGTTTTAATTTGTTGTTAAGAAAAAGAAAAAATTCATGGCGTGTACTGCTGGAATGATCCATGGCTGTGTTTCATCATCGACCTCTTCATCGTCGTCATCGTTGGGGGAAATTGAGAAATTCGAACAAGAAGAAGGCAGCGAGAGGAAGTGGTGGCGCTGATCAGAGGTTTAGGGTTAGATGTGTTTCGACAAGTCCTTTAGCTTCCGATCCGTATAAAACTTTGAGTATTCGTCCTGGAGCTTCTGAATCTGAGGTCAAAAAGGCTTTTCGACAGCTAGCTTTGAAGGTAATACTTTCTCCGGTGAATCTATGAACATCTGATTATCAAAAATTCGATCTTCTCGTTGTTTATATCTGTTTTGTTCCATTAATCACATTTTCCCCTTTCTATCAAATTTCAGTATCATCCAGATGTGTGCAGAGGAAGCAATTGCGGAGTCCAGTTTCACCAAATCAACGAAGCTTACGATGTACGCACTCTCACTCTATTTTGAAACCCGATCCCTTACTTTTTATCACATCGAAGAATCTATTGCATCTATAGATTGAATCGATTACAGAATGACCAATTCCATCTCAAAATCGATAAAGTAACCGATTGTTTAAAAAATCTAACTTAAATTTGGGCGATGATTTGCAGATGGTGATGAGTAATTTGAGAGATGAAACAAGTGTACCAGAAATGGAGTATTATGGATCGTCGGATGCAGGGATCGATGAACCGATGAGAGGAATGGAGGATCCTGATTGGGATATGTGGGAAGAGTGGATGGGTTGGGAAGGTGCTGGAATACGAGATTATTCTTCACACATTAATCCATACATTTGAAGGAATTGAAGATCCATGGATTTCTACTTTCTAAGATGAGTCCAGCAAAGGAATGCACCTTTTAAGATGAATAATGTTAATTTAAGTGTCTGGGTCTGTAATCTGTATATAAAGAGTAGTCTGTAGAGATGACTGTATTAATGTTCATCTCTCTTGTACATAAGTCTAGTTTTATGATTAATCGTCTGTAATTATGGCATCATTACTGTTCAGGAATAAAAAAATTCTTGAACAATGATCTTCATCTTTTTGTGTGTGTGGTTCATCTGTTTTTGTTTGGGTTTTTAATACACACCACAATCATTTACGTTCAGGGATGTCAACGGGCAAGAGACACAAATGAGTTAAAGATCGATTAAAGTGGATAAGTCGAATAGTTTTTATAAAGTTTAACTGGTATTATGTATATATGATAAGCCCACGCCAAAGACCTTGTGGACATAGGTTAACAAACTATTAGACACAACCAGGGAATGTAGAAGCATTTATATTGTAATTCCATATAAACTTCATCATGAAGAGGAAGATCCGCTGGTTGGATTAGGCTATGGGGGTGGTTACATCCAAGCAATCGGAAAAGCGCTGCTAACCAACGCCACGTCAGCTTCACCACCAACTCAGTAGACATTGGAAATGGTTACCAATTTACAAACATTCTCATTTATTCATTTAGCCAATGAAAAAAAAATAATTCTAACCACACAAAAAAAGGGTCAAAAAAGCTTTACCCAATCAAAGACGTCTTCATTCGTCTTCACCATCATTCCAACTCACTCCATAGCCAACCCACCAGCCTCTGGGGTGATGTTTACTAGTGGGTTAGTGTGTTAAATGGGAAACTCATGTGGGTGGGTTAATATTGATTCCGGATAGTCTTAACTTGGTGGAAACAACTAATAGTAGACGTTGCCTAAATCGTGTTCTTTTTATATAAATATATAAAATATTTTTATTTTAAATTAAATAAAATGAATTAAACTGGATTTAATGTCATATTATTCATATGGTTAATTATCTTAGCTTTTGAAGCAGCATAGTTAAGTATTAGCAAACAAACATGTTTTTATTTTGGTTTGAAAATTTATGTCTTATTAAGGAATATATTCAAATTTGATAAAACTAAACAATTTTTTAAAATTAAATATCAGAATTTTATATCGAAGAACTATAAGATTTATTGTACTTATATTATAAAATCAAAACCGAAATATATTTTTATCTTTAACTCAAAACCACATACTTATATTTTTTTAAATAAAATAACAACATACTATTATTTCTATAATAACATATTTTTTTATAATAACACATCATATCTTTTTCATGAAAATAAATATATTTGTATAAGATAAATGAAGATAAATCTTAAAAATTATATTATGTCAAAATTAAAAAGTAATAAAATGATGTTTTTTATGTTTCAAATACTTTTAGATAAAAAATAGAAAACGAAAATATTTAATTGTGTAATGTAATTTAAATATTTTAGATAAAGTCTAGACAACAAAAATTATTTATATATTTAAAAAATATATAATAACAAAGTTGTGAAAAAATAAAGCCAAAAATGTAGAAAGAAAAAAGTGAGAAACCAAAATTATAAGATTTCAAATGGTCCTTGTGTAAAATTTCAAGTAAATTTCATAAAATGGTAGAAATAGTCTTTATCTAAAATTCTTTCAACTTAACAGATCCATCTAACGGACATCCACGATAAGGACTATTTGTCTGCATGGTTTGCTCGGTAGGGACCATCTCAAGGAAAAAAGTTTCGTAAGAACTATTTTAAGAAAAAAAATGTAAAAACTAAAGGATCATTTGTGTAATTGACTGTTTTATATTTCAACCATATTAGATCGACCCATTACATAGTCCACGAAGCAATTGTAATTTGAATTCATTAGTGCGATTAAAATTAAACCCAATAACGGGTATACGATCGTTGTTTCATTATTTTCTAATATCTTCTTCAGCAAATTCAGAAGTCAAATCCTCATGCTTGATTATGCTTTCAATAAATTCGTAATATTAATAAATTTTGCTTATTAAAAAAATTATAGGTCTATTTCTTTACTTTTCGACCCCAAAATCAACAAACGGACCCTAATAATAATAGTCATTTTGTTGATTTTAAGGGTCATTTGCGAAAAGTAAAAAAAAGGCATTTAGTTTTCTTTTTTAAATAAGCAAAATTTATTAATACTACGATAAGTTTATTAAAAACTTAATCAAGCATGAGGATCATGTCATAACTCCTATCATAAGATGTCGTGGATTACTGGCTGGCCTATCATATGATGCATGAGGATCATGTTTTTGAAGTTGCTTATTTGTTATATTCGGTTTGTTCTTCTTCAGTGGAAGTTTCAGATCATGTTTTTGTTTCTTGTGAGCTTGCGGTGAGTAGTTGGAAAAAGATTTTTTGTTGGCTTGAGAAGGTCTTCACATAATTTGAGTTTGCACAATGTAACACCCATGACTTGAGGTATACTAATTATTTAATCTTTGTAATTCATTGTTGGACTAAGAGATTAATGTTGGACTATTTGAGTTGGGCCTTATTGAGTTGGGCCGTTAGTGAGTGGGTCGACTGAAGACGTACACCGGGCGTAAGCTTGGCTTATGCGGGGCGTAGTAGCAACATTGGATGTGGGGGGGGGGGGGGGGGGGGGGGTGGATGTGCGTACGCGCAGCGTACTAAGGGGTACGTGCAGCGTTCGCGAGCAGACTCAAAACCCTAATTTTCAGGGTTTAAGCCATATAAATACCTCATTATGTCCCAAACCCTAGCCTCCTTACCAGCTACCTTGACTCAGAAACCCTAGCTAGAAACCTAACCTTTTTCATCTTTGTGTGATTTTGATCTTGTGAAGCTCATTTTGGTGGTTTGAAGCTTGGAAGAAGAAAGAGGAAGTTGGTGAAGAAGAACTTGAGTAGCTTGAGCTCAAGGATCTGAGATATCATCAACATTTAGCACTCATTTGAGGTAAACAGCTCACAACTAGCCTCATGAATGCTTAGATCTATGATAATGGTGTATTGGACCTTTTTTGCTCCCAAGAATGGATTTTTATGGCCCAAATCCGTTTCTAGGCATAGGGTTGCCACCCTTAGTGCTATATGAGTCCCAAGAATAGAAAAGTTTCCATCTTGAAGGTCTTATTGTGGCCATGCATGAGTTTTAGTCATTTCCATGGAAGTTAGTTGCCATATTTCAAGTTTGGGTCCATTTGGTGGGTTGCAAGCCACCAAGTGATGGACTTTATCGATTAAAGACACTTTAGTGGACTCAGATCTGCGTTTGGAGCTTAAGGTCTTAAGGGATTATGCCTTTTTGGAGTTTATGGCTTAACAGGTTAGTATGCTGGGCGTACAAGCCCATACGCGCAGCGTACAAGCCAGCAAGTTGTATGCTTAGCGTACAGAGGAGTACGCCACGCGTACTCACTGGACATGGGTTTTCGTCATTTGGGCCTCGGTTTGGGCCGATCCATGGACTTTGTTATTGGGGGCCATAATGTGCCATCATAAATCAGTTATTGGGCTAAGAACATGTTTGGGCTTAAGGGAAGGCACATTTGAGGAGTTGGGCCCAACTTAGAAAATTGGGCCATCAGTGGGCCATTAGTGGGCTTGGAAAGATTATATAGAATTGGACCATGTATGTTATGGATTTGGGCCTAGGTTATGGTCCAAATTAGATCAGGGGTAAAGTGGTCATTTTACCCTAAGAAGGATTATTGGATTTTGAGTAAGTGTTGTTGTGGTAATGATAGCTCGAGGAGTCGTCGGAGCAGCCGTTGGAGATTCCTTACCGTGAGATTTTGCATCATGCTTTGCTAGGTGAGTTTCCTCCTATAGAACGGGTCTAAGGCACCAAGGTCGGCCTGTATGTATGATTATATGTTTCCGTATTTTATCTGATGTCGGGGCAGTGCCCGATGAATGTTTATATGCTTTCCGGACTACGGTCCGATGCCGGGCGAGGCCCGAGGAATGTTTGTATGCTTGATGTCTTAGTTATTCTTGCATGTGTCTGTGTTTGTATGTTTCCGGATTAGGGTCCGATGTCGGGCAATGCCCGAGGAATGTTATCATGTTTCCGGATTTCGGTCCGATCTCGGGCAGGGCCCAAGGAATGTTTATATGTTTATGTTTATGCTATGTGAATGTTTTATGTGTATTTTTGATATTTATGTTATGTATACCGAGCTTTTCTCGATGTCGGGCGGGGCCCGATGCCGGATTTCGGTCCGATGCCGGGCGGGGCCTGATGAAGGGCGGGGCCCACGATATGTTTATATGTGATTATGTGCTTATGTGTATGGTATGTGGTAGCATGGGGAGACTCACTAAGCTTCGTGCTTACAGTTTTCAGTTTTGGTTTCAGGTACTTCTGGTAGCAAAGGGAAGAGCTCGGGATGACTGTAGTGCACACACCATAATATTTAGCCTGAGATGTTTTACTCTGATATATTGACATGTGTTTTGATATGATGTTTTTGAGATACTATGACTTATATTTTGATGAAATGGTTATGATAACTATGGTTTATTTATGATTTAAAACGAAATTTTGGACTGTAATTTTGGGAATTTGAAGTTGGTATTAGAGCCTTTGGTTTGAGGGATTCGGACACACTCTCGGGTGTGTCTGGACTCAAACTGAGGACTTGGTATAAAATTTTTAAAAAGGAAACCATTTTTATAAAAAGGATTTTGAAAAGAGAAAAGGGTGTGGTGCATGCAATCAGCTGAGCTCAAGTAAGTTCTCCTAAATTACCCATACATGTTTATTATGATATGATATGATTATGAGAACTACATGCTATATTAGGACTAAAGATCTAGGAAGGATGCCTTGTATGCGTACTATATGTGTATGAGAATTGCATGCTAGATTAGGGCTAAGGATCTAGGAAGGATGCCTTATATGCCTACTGTATGAGCTTATTAAACTGTATGCTAGTACTGATTAGTCAGTAATATGATGGCCTAATTAGAATATGATTGGTTTGGTTTACTCAATGCTCGAATGTTGCTTGCTTTTTCCTTTTAGGAGTTCTAGTAAATGAATACGTAATATGTAACTTAAATATAAGGCATATTACGAGGACTAGTAAATGAATACGTTAAGTTACATATTACGAGGACTAAATAATTTCAGAAGGTTAGGTTTAGTTCTATTTCGCATCTATCGTTTGAGTCTAACCATTGTAGGGTAGGATCT